TTACAAAGGCTTAGATAGAAATCCTATCAGGTTAAGTAAAGATAAGGTTAATATATACTAATATCTATATTATCTCTGGGGTAAGGAGGTTAACAACTGACCTAATGGTTATTGTGTACTTGTGACCCTCTAAGTACCATTCTATACAATGGCTGTGGCTCGGGGAGCAGCAGTCTTTCCTTGTCCTGAGATCAGTGGTGACTCATGGTCTTTGTTTGGGGTATCAGTACCTCGTGGATAAATCCCTGAGCTCCTCCTAGTTACTGAGGTCATTTCACCAATTTAGTAGCTTTCCATTAACCCAAACCTTTCTAATGCTATCTATGCAATCCCCAGTAGGAGAAGCGAATGCAGCATTCTTTATTGACATTTTCCAGGCAGGTGGGGTGAGTCTCATGGAAATAATTCCCATTCACCACTGCCTTAGGGATCCACATTCCTTCAGGATTATTGTAAAAGTTACAGTAAGGCTGGGGGTGTTATTTTACCCTTATGGGGTACTGGGGTACCGTAAGGACAGTAAAGCTCATGGCAAAGAGATTGAAAGCACAAACCAGCACAACAAACACAGTTGAAACCTTGAGCTAATGGCTGCAGCCTTGCTTGCAGCTCTTCTCAGCCAAGCCTTGGTTAGACATGAGAGGCAGCTCTCCATGTTCTGCCCGTGTTGGCTGCATGGCTTCCGCCAGAGGATATTTTGTGGTTTTGTCAACCTTTTTGGGGAGAGATGCTCATCTCTTGAAATATCCATTTTGTAAGACAAATGATAATGTGATTGAATGTATAAAAGAAAATGAACTGAAAAATGATTAAAAAAAGTTAAATTAAAAAACTTTGCCACAAGGCCCACATCAGGAATAAATAATACTCATTTTACACAATCTTTTTGAAAGTAATGAATGAAGTAGTTCTCCTGAATTCGTTTGCAAAGGCCAGTATTACCCTTAATGCCAGAGTCAGACAAATAATACCATACTTTTTTTCTTTTTTTTTGGAGAGGTTTTCACTATAGGGCACGTGCGCTCACCAGACAGAGACAGACAGAGACAGAAAGTGAGAAATCACCCCACAGGGGGCATGGCCACGCCGCAATCCCCCTTCTCCTCCATTCTCCTCTCGGGATCTTGGGCACGCATGCACACGCACCCGGCATGAGTTTTTTTTGTTTTGTTTTGTTTTTTGCTTTTTTTTGGAGAGGTTTTTTTGCTATAGGGCACGTGCACTCACCAGACAGACAGAGAGAGACATAGAGATAGAAAGCGAGAAATCATCCCCGAGGGAGGATGGTCACACCGCAATCCCTTCTCCTCCATTCTCCTCTTGGGATCTTGGGCATGCACGCACAGGCGCCCGGCGTGAGTTCTAAGCCACCAGGTCCGGGACGCGAACCGCAGTCAACTATGTGGGAGCCCAGCGACATAGCCATTATGCTAACTGCTGGTTCCCCCGGCGTGAGTTTTAAGTCACTGGGTCTGGGACATGAACTGCGGTCGACTACGTGGGAGTCCAGCGACATAGCCATTACGCTAACTGCTGGTCCCTACCATGTTTTTTATAGTCTTCTCCACCCAGCTTTTTTTCACTTCAAATATTTTTAAAATAGTTTCATATAGATCTAAGGAAATTCTTTGTTCCTTTCTATGTTCTTAACATTTTATTTTTATATAGTTTTGAATTTAAACATCACAGAAGTGCTAAGAACTCTCAGTTATATCTGATTCACCACTCCTTTACATTCTGCCTCATTTGCTCTGTCATACCAATATGGAAGAGTGGGACCTACCTATCTCCTTCCATAGCTCCTGAGAGAAGTTTATTAGCCCTGACTGAACACAATCCAAAAGCCCCAGATCTAGGTAATCTCTATGAAGAGGTCATTATAGCTCCAACATTCTTTATACCTAGAGAGAGAGTGAGAGAACTCTTTTTTTCCCCATGTTTCATCTTTTAATCAGCTCCATGAAGTACATTCTAAACACTATATGAGACACAACAGAATATTCTTTTCTTCCAGTATTAAAAAAAAAATTCACATTCACACTTTTAAGAAACTCTTCTATATAATCGGGACCATGATTTTGTATTTAAAACAAAACCTCCAAGTAATAATGTTCTTGGTGCAGATTTCTTAACACTGGGAAATCTCTTTCTAACCATGATAAATACCATGTGTACATTTTAGCTTTTTGAAATATCCCTAGATATGTATTTATTTTAAAAGTCTGACCAAATTTTTTTTAACCAGAATCCATAATCCTTGATAGCCCAAACTTAAAAAACAAAAACAAAAAACTGTTGAAAGTAAAAATATCTACTCTACAGATGTCCCAAAACTTGTCAGTAAACGGAAGAAAAAAATTTTTTGTAAATGCATGGAGTTTTCTGAAAGGTTTTTAACAAGCCACCTTGAGTGCTCAGTTCAGAAATAGATGTTGATGTACTAAAACAGATGTTTCAGTGCAGTTTCAAAAATCTTCATAAATACAGCCATTTGGAAGGACAATCCTGGATCAAAAGTGTTATTCCTTATGTATCTACATTATATGTGCATTTCTCATCTCAGTTGTCATAATTGTCTCTCTAATTTCCTTCTGAGTAGTGATTATAACCACCCTGGCTTCTGCCTCTGGAGTCTCTTGACCATCCATACCCATAACCATATCCTCCAGTTCAACTATCTTACCTGCCACTCCCATATCTTTGGTCCCCACCACTTCTAGAGTAGCTGCGACCATGAGCTCCAAAGGCACCCCCTTTGGTTCCCTGGGCAGACTTGCCTGCATGGTCCACACAGATCTGGCAACCATCCAGAGACTTTCCATTCGTGGCTCTCATGGCATCAGAGGCATGCTCTGGGTGGGTGAAGGTGATAAAGCCAAAACTCTGGGATCACTGAGTCTCCTGGTCCTTGACAACGACCACCTCAGAGCTAGGATCAAAGCTGCTGAAGTGGTCCTCTAGTGTCTGCTCATTGCTGTTGAAGTTGAGCCCTCCCATGAAGAGCTTCCCTTCTTCAGAGGACATGGCAGTGAACTTGAGTCCTGTAGGGTAAATTTCAGGAAGGGAGAGAAAAACTAGAAACTAAAAAGTAAAAGGACCGGACAAGGCAAGCTCTGAAGAGCAAAGAGAACAGGGCAAGAGAACACTTAAAGTCATTTTAATGACACAGAACACATAGCTCTATAGCTAGGTTCATTTTAATATAAAAGAGTGGAGTTAAGGCATTTACATCTATATAGCATGATGCATTTGACTTATTTGACTTCCTTTGAATTTTTTTTTTTGAGAGATTTTCACTGTAGGGCGCATGCGCTCGCCAGACAAACAGAGAGAGACATAGAGACAGAAAGCGAGAAATCACCCCCCATGGGGGATGGTCACGCCGCAATCCCTTCTCCTCCATTCTCCTCTCGGGATCTTGGGCACACACGCACACGCGCCCGGCGTGAGTTTTAAGCCACCGGGTCCGGGACACGAACCACGGTCAACTACGTGGGAGTCCAGCGACATAGCCATTACGCTAACTGCTGGTTCCCTGAATTTTTATTTTTAATAGAAAAATTCTACTTTGTTACAGATACACAGTATGAATTGTTACTTGATTTTTTTTTAAATGATGCTGATGTTGATAATTAAATTCTAAGGCCAAATTTCATCTATACTCCTCTCTATAAGAACAGTAGGAAGTATATGATTTGACTTCAGCAATTTTACTTTAGCATTAATTTTTTTTCATTTTTTTATTTTAATTTTTTTACATACATTCAATTATATTATTTAGTTTACAAAGTGAACATTTCAATATGTGAACATTTCTCCCCAGTCAGTTGATCAAAATATCTTCCACCAATAGCACCACACCTCCCCATCCTGTCAATGCCCTGTCTCCGTATCCCTCCTCCAAATGTCTTTCCTTAGGTCCCTCTTCTCCATACACTCCACTTCTGGCACTAACCCCCATCTCTTGTGTTTGTACAACCTTAGGTCAATCAATTTCAGTCATAGAGTGCAGACACTCAGTATATATTAAGTGAGGACATACAGTGTCTCTCCTTCATAGCCTGACTTGCTTCACTCAGCAGTAAATCTTTCATATTCTTCCACTTTCTGTCAAAAGCCAGGGTTTTGTTGAGATTATGCCCTTTAAAACAAAATAGGCTTGAGGCAGATAGAACTCCACGTGTTATTTGTTTAATATGACAAAATTAGATGAGAAAGACAAATTTCCTTACACCAGTCTAACCACTCCTCCCATTATTGATGACTCTTATGTAGCTAGCACTATGAGTATTAAACAGTTTGGGGCCAGCAGGTACAGTGGTTAAGGTATTGGATGCCCACATGGTCAACTGCAGTTTGAGTCCTGGACCTGATGACTTGAAACTCACACTGGGTTAGTGTGAGTTTGTAAAAGAGTTGTAAATGAGTTGTAAATCCTGAAAGGAAAATGGAGAAGGGATTGCAACGTGACCATCCCCTCTGGGGGGTGGTTTCTTACTTTCAATCTGTGTCTCTGGCCTATGACAGAAATCCCCACCCCCACTCCCAAAAAAGATACAGTTTGATGGATACTTTCAGAATGCCTAGGAGAGTAGGGTTCTGCATCCAGAAATTATCCAGTTTTCTTTTTTTTTAAAAAAAAAGAATTATTTTATTTCAGCTTTATTTATTTATTTATTTTAATTTGACAGAGTGAGTGAGGCGGTGGGGTAGGGGGAAGAGAAAGAAAGAGAAAGCAAGTAGCCAGGTCTGGGACTTGAACTGTTGTTAGCCATGTGGGAGTCCATTGCCCCTAACCAGTGCGCTACCTGCCGACTCTCCAATTTTCTATAAGGCATTCAGCATGAAAAGGGATTATTTTGAAACTAGAAATTTAAATGTTATTTTAGTATCTGTTAACATATTTGTGCAGTCAGTGTATTAATGTTTATTAATTAGCATTGGTCTCTCACTATTTTATCTTTCTTTTGTATTTTGTTTTTTCCTCTCCTTTCTATCAGGCCAGTCAGTTGGAGGAGCTCTTTCCAGTGCCAAGATAGCTATGTCTTCATGGCTTTCTACTTTCACCAATTCCACCCCGCAAAGTCTCACTGAGTCACTTGATGGGAAGCCCTGAGTAAGTTTGCAGAGGCTGTGTTGCTTTCTTAGGATTCAGTGTCTGTCTGCTGCTACTCCCAGACTGTTCTTTACCAGCCATGGGTCCACAGCAAGGGACTGATAAAACAGGAATCTGTCTGCTTACATGGATGCTTACTCTCTATAAATGAATCTCACGATGCTGAAAGGATGAAATAACAACCATAGCAGGGATGACTTTCCAGGTTGGGGTTTAAATTGACTATTTTGATTTCATTCTGAGCCTGATTAAAACACACAGTGAACCTTCTGATTATTTTTCAGTTTTGATGTTACACATTTGCTTACTTTAGATAAAATTTTATTTATGTAAATTTTGTTCTGTTTTGCTTTTTGAATACCTAGATGGTCATTGTAACTTATTTGCTAAAATTATGTTCTATTGCTATTTTAACTTGTCTCTATAGTCTAAAGTTGGCCCCAAATGTGCTTATAAAGTTAAAGGGTCATACAGTCCAGGTTTTATTGTTTTGCTGAGTTATATGATGTTTTTTCTTTATTTTCTACCCATAAAATGTATTTACCAATTCACTGCTTCATAGAAATGAGAATGTCAGAGTTAGTAGTTCTGAGGATGGAGGAGTTTGTTTTCATGGTTTTTATTTGTTCTTTCCAAATCCTTAAAAACTTGCTTTGAGACCTCAAGGAGTGTTACTGTGCTTTCCTTCTCTTCCTAATTATACAAGTGGGTGTACAGAAAAATGCCATAGTGATGGCCACCTTGGTGGGGAAACAGTTTAATATGAATGTATCTCTGGGACAATACTTTCAAAGATCTATGTGTTCATTTTGTCAGCCCTTGGTATGTCACAGTCTTCTACATTCTTTTTTTTTTTTTTTTTTTTTCAGAATTTGTGCCTCCTGTTGTTTTGAATAGTTTCCTTTGGGTACATATAGCTCTACAGGTTTTCTCTTCGTATTCTTCATAAAGCTCTGAAGCTCTTGACTTTCCTACTTTGCTGAGAATCCTCCCGTAATTGATCCCTACCCCCTTCCAAAAATATTTATAAAGGAAAGGTGAAGTGATTCATAACTATTAAATAGGAATTTCATTTACTTCATTCTGTTGAAAAGCAAGAGGGATGAGAAGGCGTTAGCTATGATATCAGTCACCTGTTTCATATTAGACATATGCATGTGTGCCATTGACTGATGAGATGTACATAACTGGCTGTCATATGTTTACCATTCTCTGCTCTCACTTTTGCTTTTCAGTGGACTTTGATTGGGTGTTCTCCAGGAATACTTAACAGGGAGCAAACTGTTTTTTCAATAACAAAGGATACTTGGAAAATACATTATGAGTATAATCTACATATGCTACAAAGAAGTACTGGGAAAATAAGGGACCTAATTAGAAGGACACCAGTTATGTTTGATTTACCTCTTAAGAAATGTTTGAGAAGTAAATCTCCTGAGGTATATGCAAAAAACATTAAGACATAATCTGAACACTCTTAAATTTTCTAATGTGTGTTTTAACATAAGTCCAGCAAATCTAAAAGCATGCTTTCTTTTGAACATAACTCAAGAATTCAGTGACAATAAAATGAAGGACTTGGGGCCAGCAGGTGGCATGGTATTTAAGGCACTGGACTCCCCACATGGCCAACTGCAGTTTGAGTCCCAGACCTGGTGGCTTCCTTTCTCACTTTCCCTCTCTCTATCTCTGTTTCTCTCTGGTCAAATTTAAAATAAAATGATTCTTTTTAAAAATTATTAAATCAGGTGAAGGGCTTAATGTGAAGACTCCATTAGTTCTACTAATTCCATTAATTAACCAGGAAAATTAACATTCTCAGGAAATATTATTTGAAGAGAAGAAACTAATACTAAATAAAACCTGAAAAGATACTTTAATCCATGTTGCATTGAGTCTGTAAAGAATTCTAACATATTATTTCATGAGACTATACCAACCATTGGAGTATGATAGTGTATCCATGTGTAATTGTTACCTGTCAACTACTGGAAGTCACACTGCTAGGAGCTCTAGGTGCCCTGTGAGGGGTCAGCTGGCCAAATACTGGTTAGTCCTTTAGTTTGTGTGATGAGGGCAAATTCCTGTCTTCAGTTATTCAAAAGCAGTCCAACCCATATTTTGGAATCCACTGAAATAAAAAGTTACATGAAATATTTAAGTTTGCTTTAGTATCACTTGTTCCCCATTTGAATGTACACTTTGAACTTTCTATTATCATTTCTAATTAAGAGTTTGACTCTCACAGTAGTCAGTTAACTGGCTGTCAACATAAATGAATATATTAGGAGACAGAAGTTTAGTCATAAAATGGTCAGAAGAACACCCCTGTATTCCTTCAGTTTTTGGAAAGTATAAGGAGTTTTCAAGAATCCTAGGTCACTATATTGTGCCAGGGGTCCTAAGGCAGCGAACACAATTGAAGGCAGGAAGTCTGGCCCCTTCTTTTGTGAGTTTGCATACTTCCGACTTGGACTCTAGGCTACAGCTAAGAAGCGGTAGGTAGCCTTTCTCCAGACACTGGCTCTGTGAGCCATAGGAGACAACTCTGGGCCATCTTCTGATATATTACTGGTCAAAGTTAGTGTATTGGTGGCCACGTTGCTCCAAAGCTTGCTAAGGGATGTGTATCTTAAGAGCTGAGTATATGTAAGTAGACCTGAGAGAGCAAAGGTCAGCCATCCTTTTTTAGGTGTGCCAGGCACAGACTACAACTATAGTTTAATGGTAGCTTCAACTGCCATCACAATGACTTCGTAGTATTTGGAAAAAGTCCCTGATACTCTTTAATTTCTTCCAGGCATCGTAATGACAACGAACAGATAAGGAAGAAAGAGTTAAAGTTACCAGTTGTGGGCTAGGAAAAATAGGAAAAATTGCGTGTCAAACAAAAGCTTAGAATATTTTTAGGCTCTATTTGACTCAATATGTATAGTCTGCCCCAAATCCATTAGTATTTCACAGCCTCCAAGTCCTACAATAGTTTTCATCTTTAAGAGACACAGCAGCAATATACCTTGATGAAAATCAGAGCATATGATATGACTTCCTCAAATTTATCTTCCTTTCCAAGTTCTGTACTGAACATTTAATGTTTTTTAGAATAATTTTCTTTGGAAAGCCAGAGAGAAAATTGAGGAGAGAGAAGTGAGCTGTTGCATGGCTAAGTAACAAGGTAGTAAATGTCTGGAAGTATTTTGAGAGCAGTATCTAATGTGCTAAATGTTCTAAGAATTTTTTAGAAAGAAATTAGAATTCAGTCTGCTAGTTTTTAAATGAAGCTTTAAGGTTAATCTCTTGGCAGACAATTTTTTTTTTTTCTCATTGTATTTTGTGAGAAAAGTTTTGCAGAAGTTACAGTAGCTTGTTAAGGTCATTGATGCTAAACGTTGCCTATTTTATTGAAGAGTTGACTCTTAAATGGCATCAGTGTTATCATGCTCTGATCTTTAACTAGAGATTGCCCATCATTCCTGGCTTTGGTAGCCTTTCAACGTGACAATTTGAGAATGCTGCCCTAATTATTCAAAGCTGATTCATTCTAAATCTTTGGATTTGATAACTTTGGATATTTTTTTTTGTAATTTCTAACATTCCGTAAGTACTTGTCAAGGATAAAGAAAAGACGTGTGATTCTTAGTCTTTTCATGTAAAACTTTGCACACATGATTTTCTGATTTTATTATGAAGGAGAGCAATCTAGTTCCCTTGTATAGTAACTCCAAAATTAAAAGGTTGTGCATGTTTGAGGGATTGGATATATTTTGTAAAACTCAATACATTTGTATTTCTGTGCTCTCCTAAAGCTTACCTTTTTACTTAGAGATAATAGAAACTATATATTTAAATCATGTAAAAAGAACACAAAATTTAGGGTTTTTTTAAATTTTATTTTTCATCAGCTTCTTACACACATAGTATGCTGCTCAAAATTTTTTGTGTGTGTGCAATATAAACAATCGTACATTTCAATCAGGTTCTGAGCCAGAAAAGGTCATAGAAGCTTAAAGAAAGCATCTGTGCTTAAAAAATATTGTTGTTTTTCTTTTTTCTTTTTTTTGGAGAGGTTTTTTGCTATAGGGCTTGTGCGCTTGCCAGAAAGAGAGACAGAAAGTGAAAAATTACCCGCCAGGGGGATGGCCATGCCACAACCCCTTTTCCATTCTCCTCTCGGGATCTTGGGCACGCATGCACGTGCGACAGGTGTGAATTTCAAGCCACCAGGTCCAGGACGCAAACATGGGAGTCCAGTGACATAACCATTACTCTAACTGCTGGTCCCTGTTGTTTTTCTGAAATATTTATATTTGATAGCTGGAAAAATAACATCAAGACTTAAATGTTTCAGGGGAGTTGGTCAGTAGTTTCTAAGTTTAGGAAGCATTTGATTAATGAGTTGGTGAAGGCATTTGGTTATAGAAATAGTTTAAATATTTTAATTAAATGCTTTGTACAAACCCTTTTTAAGAAAGTTTAGCTTAGAACACTACAGAAGGTTTCTAAGGAAATTTAGCTGTGGTACATGTTTTGGTCAGAAAAGTCGTTTCCCTTTAGTCTTTTTCTATATTGTATTAGTTCTTTCTTTCTGTTGTCATTTTTTAGTTTTGTTTTTAAAAGGTGTTAAAAATGATAAATCATGTCTAATCATACTGAATTGTAAAACTTTTGTTGTATCTTTATTTTAAGAAAAATGAGAATAAAATTATCCTGTTTGCTCTGCATACAGTTGTACTTGATCTGTCCTTCTAGAAGTACCTCGTATATCATCCATGTGATCTCTGGCCTACTTCATGATTGGATGGCAGTGCCACTTTCAGTTTTTTAAAGGAACCAGCACATAGAATGAACCAAAGGATTCACTCCTTATTTACTCTCTCATTTTGGCATTGCTTATAGTGGTGCCTCGGCTTTCAGGTGACCTCCACAGGAAGAGCTCTTTAACTTTATGGAATGCTAAGTGCAGTGTTCCACAAAGAACCAACAGACAGGGGTTGATATGATAATGTTTCATCACATTGTTGACAGAACCTCCTAGGAAAATAGGATATTGTTCCAAGTACCTCGTTGTTCTACCTAGAGTAGTAAGCTTCAATAAGTTCTTGATATTTTTACTGTAGACTCCTAGCACATTTTCATGTATATTTCTATGTGCTGTGGTTTTGTTATAACTGTTCTACAAAACAGTCCTTGTGGCATGCTTCACAGAAGAAACAGGCAAACTTCCTACCCACTAGGAATGTGTGCCTCCTTGATGATGTTACCAATGTTCTCTGATGTGGACCAGGAGAGCCCTAGGGTCAGTGAGATGACTTGAGGACAGTTGAGCTTGGTTTTGCCAGCATCTCCTTCCCTTTCTTGTTAACATGCTGTGATGGCTGCAGGTTCAACTGTGAGGATGTGATGGGGACTCATCACCCAGGGAAGAACTACCTTCTCTTCATTATGATAAGGTAGGAGTACTTTTTGAATCTGGTAATATCTAGAGACAGTGTGATTATGGAGCCAGTTCTAAGGGATACCCTTCATGAAGGGCTTCTCTGCCTGGGATAATCTATACAGGTTGGGGAAGCCCTGTAGTAAGACCAACCTGTCCAAATTCATCAGTGAACCCTTGCCTAGAATGCATAGACAAACTTTGCATGATACTGGAGTCAAGAGCCAGGGGATATCCTAGGATAGAAAGTCAGATGGCTATCCTCTGTGCTCTTGACATCCCAACATAGCACAAAAATGAGGATTTTTTTTTTTTTCTGAGAGGTTTTTGCTATAGGGCGTGTATGCTTGCCAGAGAGACAGAAAGCAAGAAATCACCCTCTGGGGGATGGCCATACCACAACACCTTCTCTATTCTCCTCAGGATTTTGGGCACATATGCACACATGCCCGGTGTGAGCTTCAAGCTGCTGGATCCAGGGTTTGAACTGTCATTGGCCATGTGGGAGTCCAACACCTTAACCACTATGCCACTTGCTGGCCCTGACTAAGGTATTTACAAATGTATGTTTTACACTAAATTGGACTGGACTATGCACATACGGGAACTAGGATTGTGCCAAAATGATAAAAAGCCACTGACTGAGATGCTGAGCACTGTTGAGTCTGAGCGATGTATACATAGGAGATCAAAAGACTATTCTGTTTTTGTGTATGTTTGAGAATTTCCATACAAAGAGTTTAAAACTACTGCTAACCATTAAACAACTTTGTTGTTAATGAAAAGACACAAGTTATTGTGCAGTGGGCCCTGAGTGCCTGATTTGGGAATGTGGACTTCATTTTCTAGCTTCTCTTCTGCTACCCTGGCCTCTGCAAGCCTCCTTGCCATCTGAAACCTTGGCTCCTACTATCAGTCTGTCACTTTTCCACCCTTCTTGATGTTGGGGAAGGTTTGCCAAGAAAACCTGTAATATACAGTAATCAAAGACTCAGCTTCAGGCTTTCTCCTGAAAGTCTTCCCCAGGCTAGTTGAATCTTCTCTGAAATACCTGCAGTCAGCATTGTTCAGCTACTCTTTAAGTTTTATAAAGAGGTGTTCCCCAGTCTTGGAGACATGCAATCAGTTGAACTTTTGTGAGAAAGGGGATAAGCAACTTAAATTGGCAACAATTATGAAAAACACAAGAGCATAAAAGATATGGATAGGGCATAGCAGTGGTGGTGCAAGTGGTGGGACACTGCTGCACAAGGCTAAAGCCATGTGGGAGGTCTGGTTTCCAACTTCAGACCAACTGGGACAGGTAGCATGGTGATGGGCTCTTATAATCCACACTAACTGGGAGGCTTGGGGGCACTGGACCACATTACTATACTATCACCCTCCAGACTGCAAGATCCACCAGTCTGGTAGGATACCCTCTGTATTATTATATCTCTCTCTGCCTCTTTTTTTTTTTTTTTTTTTTGAGAGGATTTTGCTGTAGGACATGTGCACTCACCAGAAAGACAGACAGATGATGAGAGATCACCCCTCGGGGGGATGGCCATGCCGCAATCTCTTCTCCATTCTCCTCTCGGGATCTTGGGCATGCACACACGTGCACCCAGCATGAGTGTAAGCCACTGGGTCTGGGACTGAAACCGAGGTCAACTACATGTGAGTGCAGCGACATAACTATTATGCCAACTGCTGGTCTCACTGCCTCTAATTGTTTGTAATTATTTATTTATTTTTTTTAAAATTTTATTAGCTTGGAGAGGTTTTTGCTATAGGGCACGTGTACTTGCCAGACAGACAGAGAGAGACAGAGAGATAGAAAGCAAGAAATCACCCCCCAGGAGGGGCGGCCACACCACAATCCCTTCTCCTCCATTCTCCTCTCGGGATCCTGGGCACGCACGCACACGCGCCCGGCATGAGTTTTAAGCCACCAGGTCCGGAATTCGAACCGCAGTCAACTATGTGGGAGTCCAGCGACATAGCCATTATGCTAACTGCTGGTCCCTATTTTTTTTAATTTTTAATGTACATCACTGGTTGGCTGTGTGTCTCTTTCTCCTTTATCTTGCTAATTCTCACCCTTTCCCTCCTCCCAGATAGGAGAGGTAAAGTGCCGGCTCTTTGAGAAGTTACCTGCATTTGAGCTGTGAACAATCCCTTCCAGGGGCTATGCAAATGAAGAGTTTGTACTCAGACTTCATTCTCCACACCCCAAGATCCACCAGACTTGTACCTTTATAACTTTGCTGCTTAGCCTCCACACATAATTGTCTAGACAGGTCTAGGTGCACTGTAGCCAAACATCTGATTACTATTAGGGTCAGAATAAACCTCAATTCTCACTGAATCTGCTGCACAACAGGAGAAAAACCAAACTGCAGAGAGATCTTAGATCACATCCTCTTGCATGCCTCTGGACGCTCAGATTTAACTTTAAGAAATGAAGAAATGTATAATTCATCAGATGATTGGAAACCATCACAGAGGCATAAGAAATATGAGAAACCAAGAAAATACCTCTCCCGCAAGGGAAAAGAACTCATGTAGGGGGCCAGCAGATAGTGTGGTGGTTAAGGCACTGGGCACTCCCACATGGCTAACCATGGTTCAAGTACCGGACCTAGTGGCTTGCTTTCTCACTCTCCCTCTCTTTCTCTCTCTGTCTCTCTCTAGTCAAATTAAAATAAGTAAATTAGCCAGCTCCATCCCCAGGCCCCTGGCTAGCAAGAAACCCTGAGGCAGGGCCAGTCTCTGGCCACAGCCCCAGCTGCCATTCTTTCTACCCCAGAGACACCCCTCTAGGAAGAACAGTCCTCAGCTCTCCAGCAGAGCACCAGTACCATCTGCAAAACCCTAGACAACGAGGGACCCTGAGGCAGGGCCAGTCTCTGGCCACAGCCCCAGCTGCAATTCTTCCAACCCCAGAGACACCCCTCTAGGAAGAACAGTCCTCAGCTCTCCAGCAGAGCACCAGTACCATCTGTAAAACCCTAGACAACGAGAGACCCTGAGGCAGGGCCAGTCTTTGGCCACAGCCCCAGCTCCAGCTCTCCCAACCCCAGAGACATATCTCTCAGGAAGGTAGGCAGGTTTTTTTCCCCTCTTCTTTTGTTAATTTCCTACTCCTCCTTACCTCACAGAACAGGACTCAGCTCTCTAGCAGAGCCCCAGTTCTATCCCCAGACCCCTGACAAAACCAAGATTTTCTTTCTTATTCATATTCTTTTCTTCCCTCTTATATTGTCATCTTCTCCTCATCCTTTGCCCTCCCAGAGGATCTAGACAGGTCTAAAATCAAGTTCTGAAATACCCTAGTATTGTGCTCTCAGGGGTCCTCCTTTTTATCGAGCCACCTGCATAAAAGGAGCTACTGCTCCTTAGACATCTGAATAGGAGGCTCCTCCTATGAGAACTACATTGCTAAACAGAAGAGAGA